TTTTTTTTTCTCTCTTTGATTGATTTGCTGGTTGGGCTGAAGGTCGGGCTAATGAGGTTATTATCGCATCCAGGTCATGTACACCGAGCTGGCGAGCTTGAGCGAGGTGATGGCTGTTGGGACTGCCGCTGCCCTGGTTCCCATCCGCTTCATCGAGCGGAAGTCGACTGGGGATCGGTTTGTTTATACCGAAGAGAAGACCGCCGGTCCTGTCTGTCAGAAGCTATATGCTGAGTTGACCAGCATCCAACGCGGAGAGGCAGAGGATAGCTTTGGCTGGTGTCGTGAGATTGAGCAGGTTACTGCCGCATAGCTGTTCTCACCATTGTGAGGATTTATACCAATAATCTATTTCTTTCAATTCGTTCAATTCAAGGTTTCTTTTTCTTCTTTCTCTACAGAGTGACTTCAACCGGACTGCTTTCAGTTCAGATCCTGAGTCTCTCTCACACATACATACTTAGTCATGTTTTGGGATCCAGTGAAGATGATGGGCCAAATCCAAATGACCGCATATGCAAAGAGAAAGAAAACGCAAAGTCACGGGACAATTCAATAACTAATGGGAGACTCGAGCGATCCGAAAGCACCAGAGATCTCCGACACACTTAACGCAACTGTCACAGATGACTACAGTATAATCCAATCGACGGAAAGTGATAGAAAATCAAAATCACTAGGCAAATTATAAAGTCACAGAATGAATACAGTCAGTTACAAATACATTGGAATTAGCTGACAAAAGATCACTATCCTCCTCTCACCAAAACAATATGCCCTGCACACACAATAACTGCCAGACAGAATCTCTCATTGCCTCACACGCAACTGCACAATCGGTCCATCCTTCGCAGCAGTAACATGATCCCTGAGTTGATACTCTCCCTCCCTCTCCCTCCCCACCCCCTGCGCCAACGACCCTCCACCAACCTTCTCACTCCCCGGCGCCGGACGGAAATCATACTTAGACAGCAAGTACGCCATGGTCAGAGTCAGCTCTGTCAAAGCCAACCCTTTGCCTAAACAACTGCGGGGCCCAATTGAGAACGGGTTGAAAGCCGATCGCGCAACTTGGACCTTTTCAGGTCGCTCGTCGAGCCAGCGCTCCGGCAGATACTTAAACGGCTCGGGGTAGTACTCGGCGTTGTGGTGGATGGCATAGATACAAGTTCCCACATCGTAGCCACGCGGCACAGGGTGACCGTCAATCACCACCCCATCCTGGACGACCTCGCGCCAAAGCGAACTACTCGCTGGCGGCGACATGCGCAGACTCTCGTCGATACAGGCGCGGAGATACACACAGCCGGTGAGCGCCGCGCCGAGTGTGACGTCGTCCGGGCCGGCGAAGGCGGCGCGCACTTCGTTCTTGACCTTCTCGTAGACTTCGGGGTGACGGCAGAGGTAGAAGAAGGTGGATGCGATTGCCGTGGAGGAGGTATCAGACCCTGATTATCAAGAGTGAGTAAACTGGCACCCAAAAGAACAGAGGTGGGAGATGCATACCGGCAACAATCATAGTAGTACTTTCCGCTCCGATCTCGGCCGGGGTGAAGCCCTGCTGCGTCTCGGGGTCAACCGCATCCAACAGGAACGAGAACACGTCTTTCCGCTTCAACGGCTTGGCCGACATGCGCTTCTTGAGCAGCTGGTTCACGAATTTAATAAAGAAGTTCCGGCCAATGATCGCCTGCGGGAAGAGCTTGCGGTCGAGGCGGCGCGTCGCCAGCTCACCGGCCTGGAGCAGCACCCCCGTGCGCACGTTAGAGTCTTCAATGCACCGGACGATCTCGCGGTTCTTGGGGCTGCCAATCAGATCAAAATTCACTCCGAAGATGACGCTGGACATGATGTCGAAGGTCAAGTAGTTGCTCCACTTGGCCATGTTTTGCGGCGCAGACCATTCCCCGACTGGACCCTCCTCGGGGATGTCCTTGGCCAGAGAGTCGCAGAAAGCGCGCACGAGCTGCATTATTGTTTCCTCGTAGCCACGGAGGGCCTGATCGCCGAACCCCTGGCCGATGATACGTCGTTTGCGACCATGCTGCTTCTTGTCAATGAGGGTCAGGGTGTTGGGGGCTCGGTGGACCATCGCCCCGTAGGCGGAGGATTTCTGGAAACTCTTGCTAAAGGCATAGATTTCTATATCATAGAGTAAATCTTTAGTGAAATGAACTATTAAGATGAGCGAAGCGCAACGGGAGGCAATAGACCTTTCAAGCCAGTGTTGGTGTTGAACAGCACGCGGTTGGGAGCATATCGGACAATGTCACCTGGCAACCCTCCATGTCAGCAAACGTCCAGAACTATCACCGAACGACAGGAGACAGACCATATTTCTCATGACAACGCATCATATGCAGGTGTAGATCCCCCTTCCATGCGTGATATCCTCCATAGAGATTCGTGATCTTGGCCAGGACCGGCCCGGGGAATTTGGCCAGAGGATGGAACCAGATGCGATAAACGCAGACGGCGAGGAGCTGTGCGTGGAAGCAGTCAGTAATCACGTATTTCAAAACCCAAAGAAGAACCTACATATCCCACCAGGGCGAGAGGCACTGCCTTGACCAGAGTCAAGACAGGCAGCTCTCTCAGGACAGCAACGGTCTCCATGCTGAACACTAAAAGACCACCTTGAGAGAGAAGAAAAAATAAAAAGAAAAAGAAAAGGCGAAGCGCTCGTGGAGTGCGTAGCTCTATAGTGGATAACTTTACCTCAACAAGCGTACCACAATCCAAGAAATACCGCCGTCGTCAGCAACAAGCAATGGTCTGACATCGATTCAAGCCTCTCAATACCCCATCGTCTGGGATGAATCAGCTATAGAGTGTTATTGCTCGCGCGAATTGAGTCTAGTCGAAGGATCCGACCTGCGCCTCCACATGGGTTGAGGATCTGATCCTGCCGTGGGTCTGCCAAGTAAGCCCTAAGTTCCACTAAATCATGTCGGATCATCATGCATGGTGAGCAACTAGGCGGATCCCTTGGGGCCAAACCGCCCCCAACTAATCCTTCCTAATCCTTGCAGGGATGCCATGATAGTTTCAATGATGTTCAGGCCACATGGCTGAGTTCGCAGGAGCGGACCACATGGGCACAGCTCCGACGCAGCTAGTCAAGGCGCAACCAGCGCCATTGCCAGGACTAACCGAGCCGAGGAGTATACAACCGAGAAAAAGACGATATAGAGGGATCGTGTCAGACAGTTTTACCTTCGGGGTATCAGATTCTTTTCTGTGAGAACATGAGCCATGTTGCCTGTCACTATGCAGCCCCAGGTGGAGCAGCAACTGGCCTATCTACTCTTGATTGAGTTGCTGGCGTGAGTCCTTGCCTTGTTGCATGATCACTCGAGAGAGATCGATCGATCGCTGACTGCCATGGTGTTGGGTCTAGACATCAGTTTGCGTCCCCGGTCCAATGGTAAGCAGACACTGTTCCCTTTCGTCCCTGGAGGATACTCGTGTAACTTGGTATGTGTTCGAACAGGATCGCCACGCAAGATGCCTTCCTCAAAGAATACAACGTCGAACGCTTCGTCGAGATCGGGCCCGCCGATGTCTTGACGGGTATGCTCAAGAAGACCGTAGCCCGCCACTTTCGATCGCAAGATGCTGCACGCCATATGACCCGAAAGTTCCTCTCCTATGCACAGAATGCACAAGAGATCCAGTATCTGTTGGAGGCAGCTCCCGCGGTAACAGCCACAGGGAGCCAACCTGCGGTCGCATCGGCCAAGCCCACAGCCACCCCAGTCGCTACTGCGGTGCAAGCGACCATGGAAGTCTCGAAGACAGATAGTCCCACGGCACTGCAGGTCAATGTCGCTGCATCGGCCCAAGTGGCCCAAGCCGCGCCGCTCCCCGATTGCCCGGTCGACGCGAAGGAGATCGTGATTGCCATCATTGCCGGCAAGCTGCGAAAGAGCCATGGGGAATTAGCCACTGAGAAGTCTATCAAGGCGCTCGCAAGCGGTAAAACTTGCCCCTCGCTTAATCAAACAACCTTCGGGGGTCTGTACACTCTGCTAATCGAACGGACTGTAGGTCGATCAACCCTAGAAAACGAGATTGTGGGCGATCTCGACGCCGAGTTCGGCTCCCTCCCCGAGAAGCCTGAAGACCTCTCCATCAACGAGCTGGCCAGCCTCCTACAATCCGGGGCCGCATTCACCGGCCAACTCCGCAAAGTGTCCACGGGCCTGGTCTCCAAGGTCTTCGCCCAAAGGCTCCCCGCGGGATTTACCAGCGGGGATGCGCGCGATTATCTGCAGTCGCGCTGGGGCTTGAGCGTCGGCCGACAGGACGCCATCTTCCTACGAGCCAGCACCGTCCCAACCGCCACAGCCCGACTAGGGGACTCGCAAGAAGTCCAGTCGTTCTTGGACGGGATCGTGCAGCAATATGGGACGGACCACGAACTCAATTTCGCCGCCGCCGTCTCCTCCGCCGCCGCTGCGGTGACCGTCGCAGCCCCGGTGGTCGACAGTGCCGCTCTCAACGCCATGGTCAAAGAGCAAGATAAGCTCAAGCAGTCGCTGATGGAGTTATACGCCCGGCTTCTGGGTAGGAACCTGCGACAGGGTGCTCAAGACGCCCTGAAAGCCCAACTCGCCACCGCCGGGCTGCAACAACAACTCGACGGCATCGCCGCCGAGGTGGGCGACGTGTTTTTGTCCGGAGTCCGTCCGCTCTGGGCGGCTCCCAAGCTGCGTCGCTTTCACTCGAGCTGGAACTGGGTCCTGCAAGACACCTTAGACCTCTTCCATCGGATCCTGCGCGGCGACTTCTCCGAGACGGAGGATCTGGCCAAGTACAGCAACGCGATCGCCAACCGCTCGAGTCCCCGCCTGGTGCGGCTGATGAAATACCTGGCTAGCAGCAGCCACTCCTCGTCTCTGCTCTGGGGCCCTGGCGTCCCTGAAGCCCAAGCCATCGTGCGCCGCTTGCTGGACCGGTGTGAGACCGCTCGCACGCCGCGGTTCGAGCCGTTGGCCGCCAATTATGATGCCTTCATCGAGGGACCCAGCACGACGGTCGACGAGCAGGGCATGATCAAGTACCGCGAAGTGCCTCGCGACAGTGGATCGCCCGTCATCGCTCCCATCACCATCAAAACCCATCGTCAGGCCGGGGCCTGGCAGACCAACCGGCAGCTGACCACCCTGTACCGCGACGAGGTGCAGTCCGCCTGGACGGACGGGGTCACCTACGTCAACAAGTACGTGCTGATGACGGGAGTCAGCCAGGGCTCGATCAACGCCGAGATCCTCAAGGGGTTCCTGTCTGGTGGGGCCAAAGTGGTAGTCACCACCAGCAGCTATTCCTCCTCCACCACACGCTTCTACCAGAACCTCTACGTCGAGTACGGAGCTCGCGGGTCGGAGCTAATCGTCGCGCCCTTCAACCAGGGTAGCCAGCAGGATATCAACGGGCTGGTGGAGTATATCTTCGCCTCCGCGGAGACCGGCGGACTGGGCTGGGATCTGGACCATGTCATCCCCTTCGCCGCGATCTCGGAGTCCGGCCGCGAGATTGACAACATCGACTCACGCTCCGAGCTGGCCCACCGCATCATGTTGACCAACACCCTGCGGCTGCTGGGCGCGATCAAGAAACAGAAGCAGGCGCGAGGCTATCGCACGCGACCCACGCAGGTCATCCTGCCGCTCTCCCCCAACCACGGCGCCTTCGGCAATGATGGGCTGTACGGCGAGTCGAAGATCGCGCTGGAGTCCCTGTTTGATAAGTGGCACTCGGAAAGCTGGGCGACGTATCTCTCCATCTGCGGCGCCGTGATCGGCTGGACGCGCGGCACGGGTCTGATGGCCGACAACAACATCGTCGCGGCGGACATTGAGAAGCATCACGGCGTGCAGACCTTCTCCACCGCCGAGATGGCGGCGTATATCCTGGTGCTGATGACGCGCAAACTGGCCAGCCAGTGTAACGTGCAGCCGCTGTATGCCGATCTGACGGGGGGTCTGAACACGATCCCCAATCTCCGAGCCACGCTGGATCAGGTCCGTCGGGAGATCGTCGATCAGAGTACGCTACGCACGAATCTGGCCCGCGAGAAAGAGGCAGAGATGAAGCTGACCGTTCGGGGCGCCGCGGCCTCATCCTCTTCCTCTCCTGCATCCGGTGAGGGTCCCAAGACGACGCCTCGGCCACGACTGGCCAACATCCCCTTCACATTCCCGCAACTACCCAACGAGGCGAAAGACGTGCAACCCCTGCGAGCCACCCTGCAGGGCATGGCTGACCTCGATCGAGTCGTGGTGGTGACCGGCTTCTCCGAGGTCGGACCGTTTGGCAACGCTCGCACGCGATGGCAGATGGAGGCGACCGGACAGCTTTCGCTCGAAGGCTGCATCGAACTCGCGTGGATGACGGGGCTGATCCGGCACCATAATGGGCCCCTGGACGGCCAGCACTACACCGGCTGGGTGGATGCGAAGACCCAGAAGGCCGTGCAGGACCTGGACATCAAGGCGCGCTACGAAGAGCATATCCTGGCCCACACGGGCATTCGACTGGTCGAGCCAGACCTGAACCCCAATGAGCCTGCGGGGAAACGCCAGCTCCTGCAAGAAGTCGTCCTGGACGAAGACCTGCCCCCGTTCGAAGTCTCCCTCGAAGTGGCGCAGCAGCTCGTGCATGAGCATGGCGAGAAGCAGGTGGATATCCTACCCCAGGGCTCCGATCGCTGCAGGGTCCATCTCAAGAAGGGAGCCGTGTTGATGATTCCCAAAGCCCTACGATCGGACCACGCGGTTGCTGGCCAGATCCCGACTGGGTGGGATGCTCGTACCTACGGGATTCCCGAGGACGTTGTGACGCAGGTCGATCGGGGCACGCTTTTCACTCTGGTGAGTACCATCGAGGCCTTGGTGGCTTCGGGCATCACCGACCCGTACGAGCTGTATCAGTACATCCATGTGTCGGAGTTTGGGAACTGTATTGGGTCGGGGCTGGGCGGCGTCCACTCGTTGAAGAGTATGTTCAAGGATCGATACCGCGATCACGACGTGCAGAAAGATATTCTGCAGGAGACCTTCATCAACACCACTGCCGCCTGGGTCAACATGCTTCTCCTCTCCTCCTCGGGTCCGATCCGCACCGCCGTCGGAGCGTGTGCCACCTCGGTCGAATCGCTCGAGACCGGCTACGAGACGATCGTCACCGGTAGCGCCAAGATCTGCCTCGTGGGAGGCTACGACGACATGAACCAAGCAGTCGCCGACGAGTTCGCCAACATGAAGGCGACGACGGACGCCGCCGCCGAAGCCACCAAGGGACGACTCCCACAGGAGATGTCGCGACCCTCGGCCGAGAGTCGTAGCGGCTTTGTCGAGTCGCAGGGCAGTGGAGTCGAGGTGATCACGTCGGCGCGACTGGCGTTGGAGCTGGGCTTGCCCATCCATGGCATCATCGCCTGGGTGGGCGCCGCCAGTGACAAGATTGGCCGCTCGGTTCCAGCTCCTGGGCAGGGAATCTTGACGAATGCTCGCGAGAAGCCGGCCGAGCGCTTCCCCTCGCCCTTGCTCAGCGTGCGCTACCGCAAGCGCCGACTAGATGCCCGGTTGGCCCAGATTCAGGAGTCAGTCGACTTGGAGGTGCAGACGTTGGCGGAGCAGCTGGCCAGCGACGAGGGGGGGCTCTCGGAAACCCGCCAGGAGGAGTACCAAGCCCATCTGCGGTTTGTGGAGCAACACGCCCAGCGCCAGCGCAAGGAGGCCCTGAGCACGTTTGGCAACGAGTTCTGGAAGCATGACCCGTCGATTGCGCCGATCCGGGGTGCGTTGGCGGTGTTTGGTCTGAGTGTCAATGACCTGGACTTCGTGACGTTGCATGGCACGAGCACGGTGATGAACGATAAGAACGAGCCGGCCGTGCTGGAAGCGCAGATGCGACACCTGGGTCGGCAGCCTGGCAATCCCCTGTTTGCCATCTCGCAGAAATACCTCACCGGACATCCCAAGGGCGCCGCCGGGGCGTGGATGCTGAATGGGGGGTTGCAAGTGCTGGACACGGGCCTGATCCCCGGCAACCGCAACCTGGACAACGTGGACCGACATTTGGAGCAGAACGAGTACATCGTCTACCCCAATCGGAGCATTCAGACCCGTGGCCTGAAGGCTTTCTCTTTGACCTCATTTGGCTTCGGGCAGAAAGGCGCGCAGGCCATCGTGGTGCATCCTCGTTATCTGTATGCCATGTTGGAGGCGGACGAGTACGGTGAGTACCGGAAGAAGCGTAACACGCGATACCGGAAAGCCTTCCGGTTTTTCCACCGGGGGATGACGACGAATGCCATGTTTGTGCCCAAGGATGAAGCTCCATACCGACCAGACCAGCAGAATGCGGTGTTGTTGGATCCCACGGCTCGAGTCACTGCCAGTACGGGTCCAACTCCTGAGTATCGGTTTTAGGGTCGCTTGCATCGATATGTTCTGTCTGTGGTTCGATCGCTTTTTGGCCTTGTCTCCTGTAATTATGTTCCAATACTTCTTACTAATATATTTTTGCCTTGATCACATTCACTATGGGGTAATAGATACTATTCCGGCGGCATATGATGTTATTGTAGGCAGCCTTCAACAGACAGACTGTGGAGATTAGGGACTCTTGGAACTATGTTCTGGTCATTCGGGCACTTGAATCTCTGTGTTGATCAAGTTAGAAAGTAGAATGTAACAATAAACAGGGTGGCAGCTGTATTTTAGAACGACGAATGGTATTTTGTATGTCACGGTGCAAGCCCATATACCTATTTTATCTGCTCAGCCTATTTAACCTAAGATGCCTTATTGAGTTTACTATCTGCCCTAATTAAGTTACTCCATATGATATATTATATAATTTATGATTTAATTAGGATGTTTAATCTACTGATTAACTATAAGTTAATTACGTCTGATATACATATTTTTTATATTTGACTGTTGAACTAACAGAAGATAGTGAAAGGTCGGTTATATAGTCTACATATAAACGTCGATTGTCTTCTATGTAACTACTCAGTATATCTCAACGTCCACAACATTAAAACAACCAAAGCCTGTCTGAGTGATCGACTGACTTGGGTAAACTAATCACCAAAATCGGTTTCTCTGCTTTGAGAAGTCTGTAACCTGAATTGATCTCATAACGACTCTAACGTACTGTCTGCTCTCCAATATGCTATCCTCAACCCACAACTCATGCCATTAACACAAATACTACCAACCCAAATTCACCCTCCATCCCCCAAGATCCTCCAGAGTCGCAACAAGCCCTAAAATATACAATCGAAAGGATATTGATACGTAACAAGCTCAGCGCCACCCACCACAACCAAAGACCACGAACCAATTAATAGGAAATAAATATAAAAAGAATACTCGTTGGAAAACCCCAGAGACCAGGAAACCACAAACGAACCAATTCCTCCTTCAAAGAAACCCCCCAAATCAATCATAGAACTAAAACTGCATCGGCGTCCGACTCGAACCCCGTCCCGAATCCCAATACAACTCCGCAAAAGCCCCTTTCTCCTCCAACAGCTTCTGCGGATTGCCCTGCTCCTTGACCTGACCCGCTTCCATAACAATCACCTCGTCGAAATCGACAATCGTCTCTAGTCGATGCGCAATCGCGATGACCGTATGCGACGCGAACTCCGTCCTGATCAGGCCTTGCATGATCTCATCGGTTTGCGTATCGATACTATTTCACGCCAGGTCAGCCACGATCCTTCCCGATAAGACATAAGCGCTTTGGGGGCAAACAAACCTGCTCGTCGCCTCATCCAAAATCAAAATCTTCCCTTCGGAGCGAACCATCGCTCTCGCAAAACACAGTAATTGCTTCTGTCCCGGCGAGAAGCTGTCGGGGGTAATGGTAGCGTCTAGCCCGCCGAGGGCGTCGACCACGTCCCAGACCTGGACTTTCTTGAGGGCGTCAATTAGAATCTCGTCTTGAATGCTGCTGTTTCCGGGGTCGATGTTTAGACGGACGGAGCACGACGGTAGCAAGAAGGGTTCTTGGGGGATGCAGTTGAGTTGAGCGCGGAGGTCGTTGCGGCGGAGGGTGGTGATGTCTTGGCCGTCGATGGTGATAGTGCCATTCGAGAGTTCGATGAGGCGGAAGAGGGAGGAGATGAGGGAGGATTTGCCACTGTTTTTTTTTTGAGGGTTTTGAGTTAGGGAGGGATTCATACGGAGAGGGTATGTGTTAAGAGGGGGTTTCTCATACCTTCCACTGCGTCCGCAAATGCCGACTTTCGTGCCGGGGCGGATGGAGAGGGAGATGTGGTCGAGGGCGCGGCTGGTGGAGCTTCTGCATTGTGACATCGTCAGATATGTAGGGGATACAACAGATGGCAGGGGGATGGAGGGGAACGAACTTGTATGAGGCTACAAGATCGTTGATCTCGATTGCTCCGTGTTCAGGCCATGCGGCTGGGGGAACGAATGATTCGCAGTCCAGATGCTCCGATTCCACGGTGCGTTGGAAGTGTCGGACGCGCGACACGGCTCCAATCGATGTCTCCAGCACAGTCCACTGCATGATCAGTCCCTGCAGGTTCTCGGTGAACGTCACGATATTCAACAGGGCAACACCAATGAACCCGGCACTGAGTCTCCCCCGGGTGGCGACTGCAACGGCCACCAGCACGACAGCGAACCCGGCCACTAGCAGCGCAATCACCAATTCCAGCCAGCGCTGAATGGCAAAGAGCAGGTAGAACGGCTTCTGGCTGGAGTTGATCAGCTCAGCGTTCTGTTTGCGGTACTCAGTTTCCCAGTGGAAACTGCGGATCGTGGTGAGCCCGCTGAGGGTCTCGAGAAAGTGAGTGATCAGAGGCGCTTTGGCCTCAATATCCAGATACCGGATCTGCCGCGAGGTGCGGAGATAGAACCGTTGGACGAAGTAGAATGCCAGCAGACAAGCCGGAACAGTGGCGGCGATATAGCTGGTGGAGACACACACCACAACCACCTGAGCCACACAGGTGAAGAAGGTGAGAATGGTATTCAGAACGGCCAGAGGGAGCTCCATGTCAATCAACTGGAGGTCCTGACTGAATCTGCAGCACTGTCAGCATGCATGGAGAGAAAAAAAGAAACGAAAACGAGAAGCAACTCATTCATCAAAGCACTTACCGGTTAGTCGTATGTCCCACATCAGTGGTATGAAAGAAAGACATCGGGGAACTGAATATCTGGTCAGCAACAACACCACACAAGCGCATTCCCAAGCATGACAGAGATTAAACATACTCCAGAACACTCTTCAAAAGCTGAGCATGCAACCCCCTAGCAGCACGAGCCACCAAGTTCGACATCAAATGCCAACATGCCAGAACAAGCGTGGAAACCGCCATCACCGCGATCCACCCATAGACGCCCAGCCAGTAACCGAGCTGTGAGTTGGGATGCTTCATATTCGACGACGTCCACCATTCCACCCAGATCGCTGCATCTGTTAGCTCAGACCACATTCTTCCTCAAGCCAAAGCAGAAGCCGAAACTCACAAGGGAAGGTGATTCCAACGACATAGCAACAGATGAGGAAGACAAACACCAACGAGCGCCAGAACCCCAACACTCGCATATAGTACCAATACACCGACATATCCCCCGTGCGTCGCCCATCCATAGGAAGCGGCGCTTCGAGATTCAACGTGGCGAGTGAAAGAGGCCGCGCCTTGGTCTTCGTGGTGACCTGCTCAACGACCGCGGTGGTATCCTGTTGCTGTTGGTGCTGCTGCTGTTGCTCCTCGTCACCGATCACGCGTTTTTTCCCCTCGGACACGGACAGACTTTGAATATAGCTCTCGGAGCGGTCGAGCAGCTCCTTGTAAGACCCCTGTTCGAGGATGGTACCTGATTTTGACAGGGCGATGATGTGATCGGCCACTGAGAGGTTCGAAGCTGTGCAAGAAGAAAAGAAAAAGAAAACAAACCGTCAGTCCAGACATTCTCGTATACGACATGGCACAAGGGGGCCAAGAGTTAGTAATGAACGAATCAAACCTACCACTACTACTCGTCATCACAATCGTCGTCTCCATCCGCCGCAACAAGCCTCCAGGGGCCAAAAGCGCTCGGAAGATAGTCTCTTCTGTCGTACGATCGAGTCCGCTGAACGCATCGTCCAGAATGATCAACTCCGCGCGTGAGTAGACCGCACGCGCCAGAGCCTGTACATGCACCATACCATCAGCCATCCACCAGCCCTCCCGGCATCTCAAAAAAAAAGGAATAAAAATGAAAATGAGAAATCTAGACATACCACACGCTGTTTCTGTCCTCCACTCAGCTTCGTCGCCCCGGACCCCAACGACCCCATATCCCTATTGGGCAAATCGAGAATATCCTCTTCTAGGGCACACGCCTGCACGACGGTGTTATACCAGTCAAGATCAAACAACGACTCGCCCAGGATATTCTCCTGCATACTCCGGTTTGTCAGCCAGGGCACTTGCGCACAGTACGCGATAGCACTGGTCTCAATCTGCAGCGTGCCGGTAGCGACGGGGGTCTCGCGCAGTAACATTCGCACGAAAGTCGACTTGCCACAGCCCACCGGCCCGACGATCATATTGAGCGTCCCGCGACGGATGGTGAAGCTGGCTTCGTTGATCACAGTCGGTTTGCCCTCCTCCCAGCCCGCACTGCGAGCATCAGCCCGGCACGCCAGTCCCCCGGGTGACGAAGGAAGCTCGTAGGGGGGCAGGGCCTCGCGACTGGAGACGCTGGCCGGGAAAATAGGGGTCATCTCCATCTCCTTCTCCTTCCAGCCGGGCTTCTCGGAGTAGTGCGAGGTGAGGGTGCTTAGCGTGCTGGCCGCCATGGTGGGGAGGTGGGGTTTCTGGGCATCGTCGTCGCGGGGTTGCGACTGGAGGAAGAGGTTGATGCGCTTGATGGAGCCGACGGCAGTGGCGATACCGGTCACGGCTTCGACTAGGTTAGAGATTGGCGTGGACAGGAGGGTGAAGAGGGTGAGCGAGGTGAAGGCCCGCGCCGGCGTAAGGGTCTCGGTGCCGTTGCTGTGGCGGGCGTTCAGGGAGTAGATTAGAAACGAGGCCAGCGGGGAGATGGACACGTTGCTGTATGCTTTTTAGGGAAGGGAAAGAGAAGGAAAGGGTTAGCGGGGTGTAGTGTTGTATTGTGACATTCAGGGGCTTTGGGACGCAAAAGACTCACCCACGCCGACCACCAGAATCAACAGACGACGGAATCGCTCAGACAGCTTCACCTCGTCCGAACGCATGTTCTGCACGATGTTGTAGATCTTGTCCGTCAATCCGGCGGTGCGGACCCCCTTCATCGAGCCCAGCACCTGCGCCGTAATGTCCACGCGCTTCTCAATGGCCTGCAGCCAGACCTCTTGTCGCGGTCCAGCCAGAGCTGATATCAACACGCACAGCAACATGCACACTGCCGAGGAGATTAGCGATTCGAACACAATCACCACACAGCGGGAAGAGAACGATCAAACCCACCAACCACCACCACAATGGGGGCAATACTCGCAATCCCCAGCTGCTGCCACAGCAGCCAAAGAGCTATCGGAATCTCTACGATACACGCCCAGACATCGTGGATATACCGCAGCCCACTGGAGATACGCTCAATATCCGCGTTCATCAGGGTCACCGGGGCGCTCGATTCGATTTCGCTGTCCCGCATGACCATGATATGACCGAACATCATATCGATCATGCTGGCCCGCATCATGGAGACCACCCGGTAGGCCTGGTGCTGAGCGAGAGCGGTCGACACGGCAATCCCAATGTAGGTGAGCGCGAAGGCCCCGATCAGCCCGTATCCCTGGCTCATGGTGTAGGATTCGTCGTCTAAGTCCACCCAAGTCACCATGGTTTCGACGAGAAACGGCTGCGCGAAGGTGAGGCCGATCTGCAAGGCCCGCGGTAAGACTCCTAGCAGAATGGGCCAGGCATAGTACCGCAGCGACGCCCAGAGCAAACTATGCGGTCGATTCTGATAGTTGACTCCCTTTCGCCAGCGCTTCTCCAACCCGGTCGGTCCGGCGCCCCTGGCACAGAGTTCCTCTTCGAGCGCTGGGAGTGAGGCGATCGTAAGGTCGGTCCGGTTTCCTAAGAATAAGAGAGGGTTGATCCAGGTAAACAGGCTCCGGCCGAGCACACCAGTCGCGGTCTCTGGGGGCAGATCTTCGTAGTCGCGTTTGAGGATCGAGTTTTTCGGGAGGGACTCCAGAATGCAGACGACCACCCGAAGGCCTAGATTGACACTGTAAATGATGGGAATGGCGCGGTGGTGGGCCGAGACATAGTATAGAGTCCGGGCTTCAGCGAGGGAGAGCAGCGAGGAGAGAAACAAATAGCCACTGTTGATCGTGGACGGTTTGATGGTGCGCCAATGTTCATACTGAGACAGAATCCCCAGCACGATGTATGTCACCAAAGTGACCACCGCCGTGCCGATCGTGGCCCGAGTGGTCACCCCTGAAGGTAACGCCCAGAGCCCGATGAGCGTTGCTTGGAGAATTGCCAGGAGGGCATAACCGATCTGCAAGCAAGTCCAAAATCAATAAGATACGACAATATCCACCGGGACACCGCAAAAAGCCCTTACCAACTTGACCACCCCCGCATAACCCCCCTTAATCTTGATGGGCTCCCGGCGTAGGTACACAATCCGGGGTAGAGCTGCGAGCAGAAAGAAGACATTCACCGGGAGAGTCAAGATCGCTGACTCAAAGTACCAGGTGAAGTCGAAGCCCGATGCACACTGGTCACTGACTATGGGCCCGAATTGATCCTCGAGGGCAATAGAACAAGCCGTCGTCCGGGGCCGAAGCCATTGTGAAGACATAGCCGGAAGCAAAGAATGAATACCATCCACGGACTGGAATGTCTGGTACTGTCGATCTCCCTGTCTTTCTGGTTGCGGGATAAGACCCTCTCGTTGCAAGACCCGGTGGCGGCAAGCAACTGGTGGGGAAAGAGAGGGGGGAGAGTTAGCAGGACATTAGGGGACAGGAGGGGACAGTCAGTGTCGAGACGTAACGGACCAGCCAAAAAACATAATAGGCACCCATGCAGGACTTCTGATTATTCAAGCACCCCCGCCAAGGTCGAGCGACCATGGCGTTGGCGCTGAAGGATTCAGTAGGAAGTGGAGCGAGGCTTAGCGTTGCGTCCCGCTACTGCAAGGTGAGATTTAGGGCTTATTGACTCAGCCCTCCATGTGGTTCTTTCGACCAACGCTTTCACTAATAATATACTCAAAACACAGGATCTCGTTCATGCATGCTCATTTCCATTGGTTCCATAGAAGATTCTATGAAGCAAAAAACAGAGGAAGAACTAGAAAAAAAAAAGAGAGAAGCAACAACAACAACCCTATCACACATCATTTTCTCTCCCGACCAACCATTGACAATTCATCCCCACCTCCCTCCAGCATTATATCACCCTTGCTGCATACCCAGTGTCGAAACCCCCAATTCCTGCAAGCCCGTCAGCCCAGCCATGTGCGCCGCGACTACCAGACCACGTTGTCGTTCCGACTCCACGTGGGCCCAGCTCCACCGGTCAACAGCCTGCTTGGCCCCCGAAGTGGCTCCGGCGTGATCGCGCAGATCCTGCTGCGGCAGTGCAGGAGTCGAAGACAACGATTCAGCCGCAGGAGCAGGAGCAGGAGCAGGAGCAGGAGCAGCAGCAGCAGCAGGAATAGCCTCATCTGATTCCGCCAAGAGACCCAGATTCCGCAGCACGCCATCCGGTTCCATCGTCTGCCGGCCCTTCTTGAACACATACTTGGACATTGCGGAGGCCAGGATCTGGGTTTCGGGGATTTCCGCCGTTGCGTGGCGGCCCCCTGGCTTTACAAAGTAACTGACAATATACAACCATTTATCATCCCAGGTCAAGACGCGAGATACAACCTCGTAGCGCTGGTAGGGCTTGATCTCGCGGCGGAAAATGCAGGCCACCCCGCCCAGGGCGGCAATGAGGGGTCCGCGCCGATGACGGCGACTGTAGGGGCTCGAGGAGGCCAGGGTGCGGCGGGGAGAAAGGGGAGTGATGGCATCTTTAAACAACGCCACTAGTAATTCGATCCGGCTCACATCGAGGTCGGCGTAGAAGGTACTGTTGGATTTGTGAAGGTTGAAGTCGATCTCGGCGAGGGAGCAGTAGGAACGCGTGCGCAGCGGGCGGAAGATTGTGGATGGCGTTGGGGTCGAGATGAGGGCGCGATTGCGATTCCAGACTAGGTGTCGCACGAGAATGGTGAAGATCCGAGCCTGCAGAATTCCAAGGATCAGATTATTTTGTTAATTGTTACATGGACAGGTGAAAGGTGGTCAGAAAAGTACGGACATGCCAGAGTCCAGGCAGGGCTTTGGGATCAAAGAGAAAAAAGCCGACAACGGCGCTGAGGAGTACCGTCACTGGAGAAATTGAAAACATTCTTTTGAAATGCCCGAGAAGCGAAAAGCGAGTGAGAGAACAGGCATAAAATAAAAAACAGGGAGGGGGGGGGAGAATGCTGAATGGGGTTTATATAGTTCGTCTCTACTAGTATCCTAGTATCTATACTTGGAGGCTGGAGGCAAAAACTCGCAAACTCGCGGCCCCAGCCCTACTACTACTTAGCAATAGGCAATTTTCAACCTCTCCCGTAGCGCTTCGGATTCAGCGGGGAACCCAAAAAAACAAAGAAAAGAAAAGAAAAAAGGAAAAAAAAAATTATTCATTACATGCTTAGAGTATATACAAAACAGGAAAAAGAAAAAGAAAATGAAAATGACAAAAAGAATAAACAAACAAACAAAGAGCCACACTGCAAATACCAAACACCACAATCCCCAATCTTGCAGATCCTAATTAGAATACTTTCATAGCCTCAATCGCAGCCTCAATCTTCTGCAAACCATCCGTACTCGCCAGATCCTCATAAGTCTCCCACTTTATTCGTAGTTAGCGAACTGTCGGAAATCTCAGGAGCAAGAACGAATTCAAGCATACCTCACGTAGAACCCCCTCCAGTGCCACCGACCCCGTCACCCGATGCACCAGCTCAAAATACTCCTTGCTCAATTCAAACGGTCTGGCTGTTAGATTCGGGATATACTTGCCCACCAAACACTTGGGATCCAAGGCGTGACTATCTATAAGATCCAACAGACAGCGTCGGAAGTCCGCCACGCCCGGCAGCAACGAAGAAGAATGGAACGGGACATCAATGCCACGGAGGGGGATCGTCGCGCAGCCGCGGGTCAGGGCTGCGGGGATGGTGGTTGGGGTGAGCTGCGCAATCTGCGCTTCGACGCGGGGGACCAGCTGATCGGCGGCCATGGGAGGTACAGGAGGGTGGGCATTGAAGTGATTGAGAATGGTGGTGAGACAGTGGATGGCGTGGATCTGTCCGGCGCAGACATATTGCAAGCCCCGGACGTTAAAGTTGACAATCTCAAGTAACTGGCCGGTTTGGGCGGCGATGGTTTGGACCACGATTTGGAGGGCTTCTTGGCCGAATCCTGGATTGAATTGAAGTCAGTGATTTGCATGAGAGAGAGAGAGAGAGAGAGAGAGAGAGAGAGAGAGAGAGAGGCAGGGAAAGGGAGCAACAGTGGGGATACATACCAGGCGCTACACGACTGGGATCGACAGCACACATCCGATAGTCCGAGTTCCCACGGGCATCGCGCTCCACGGCGAATTGCATTAGAAGACCACGATAGAAAACCACCTGGACCAGCGACTCGACACTGAAGATCTTCCCCACCGCACCGAGAGCCGCATACTCGCCCAGCGAGTGACCCGCATACGAACTGCGCTCCGAGATTAACCCGCGGGCCTGCAGATCCGCGAAGATCGCTAGCTCCATCAGCGTCAGGGCAGGCTGCGTGAACTGCGTAGCAGACAGCAAGCCCTGCGGGGAGGAGTACGTGTAGAACTCCGTCTCCTCGTCGATCTCGGGAAACAGAGGCAGGAGCTGGATAGAAACCCCATCGGCGGCAACGCTCTCGCGTCGCATACTCCGGTATTTCTCCCGGATGTGCCGGCCCTGCGGCCCCCCGAAGTGGACGGTCAGCTCCTTGGGATCATTGCGCACGATGTCAGTGATGCGGAAGCCGTAATTGTCGGAGAAGTAGGCATCGGCGTAGTCCCAGACCTGCTGGGCGGCCTTACTCTGCGCGTACAGTTCCATCCCCATGCCTTTCTGCTGGCTGCCCTGACCGGTGAACAGGAACGCCGTCTCCTCGGGCTCGATCTCGGCCTCGCCGCGAAGGACGGTCTCGCCACGACCCAAGTGCTTGGCTTCGATGGAGACGATCTTCCGGCCGGCCAGCATGCCAATGTGCTGGAAGCGGACCTCGATTTCATCGCCCGGGAGGACCATGCTGGTGAAGGAGCAGTGGAAGCTGCGGAAGGCGCCCAGGGCGGAGGCGCAGGTGTAATGCTCGACTAGTCCACGGACGCGTGCGGACGTGTACATGCCGTGGGTGATGAGGCCGGGTAGATCGGCGTAGCGGGACAGGGAGGCGGAGACGTGGATAGGGTTGAAGTCCCACGAGACGTGGGCATAGGCCTCGTTGGATGGTGGCATGGTGAGAACCAACGCCGCCGCGCCTTCGCCCTCACGGGTCACCAGCGGGCTGGGCTGGTCGAACATCGAGCGCTTTTGCACCGGACTGCCATGTCGCTGCAGGTAATCCATGACCGGATTGCCCCGGCAGGTGGCGGCATAGAAGGCGACGGTGGCAATGGGTCGCGAGCCACCGGGCAGCGAGGAATTGAGACGCACATCACCCACCGTGGTGACCGCCTTGAAGGTATCCTTGCTGGCATACTGGTAAGTCGAGCGCAGCACGAAGACCAAGGTCTGGTTCTGCAGATCGAGCGAGGGATCCAGCGGGCGAAACCAGGGCTTGGACTGCAGCAAAGCCACCTCCATCGGACTCCGCGGGCAGAGCTCCATCTCCTCCTCATCCACGTTGCGGAACATGTTCTCCCAGTCATCATGACCACTGCCCCGGTAGAGGAACTGACTGCTCAATTCCAGCACCACCTGGCCCTGGTGGTAGACATCGGCGCGCACCTCGACCAACTTGCCCGCCTCCTCGATCGTGATCGCCTGGATGCGCGACTGCGTCTCCAGCACATATCCCGCCTGAATCGGCTCCGCATCAGCGGGAATCCGGAACCCATTGGTCAGATGCACCAGCGTCAACAGGTCGACCTGGAGCTCGCGCGAGAAGAGCGGCTTCATGAGCGCCTCCCATCCCACCACCACGCCAAAGTCCAGCGGCGCCGTCATCTGCTGCTTCCCACGCCGCTTGCTCGCCGCATCACTGGCGTTCTGCACACAGTGAGCGAATTCGGCGATCGACTCAGCCGTGACCTCGAATTGCGACTCGCGGAAGGTGTCATGCACCGACGGCCACGCCTCGGGAGTCTCCCCGGCAAACCAGACCCGATAGTAGAAGTCCTTGACGCGCTCGTTGCGGCCCTCCATAATCTCGTGGATCGGGGCGTAGATGGCCTCGCGCCGGTATTCGAACTGCAGCTGCAGCCCGATCGCCGCGCCACCCGCACTGCGATAGTTGATGATCTCCAGCGTGATGACTCCTGGCATCTCCACCCGGATCTCGACCACCTTGACCGGCTCGGAATGGGGCCGGTGCTCGAACAGAGTGATAATCGGATCGCCAGGAGGGCCCTGAGGGCCATACTGCACCATCACGTACGAGTCGCGGGTAGGTTGAAACAGTCGTCGCAGGGGATTCTCGCAGATCGCCCCTCCCTGCACGATAGTCGCCGCGTGGAAGAAGGCTTGACGCCAGCCGCCGTGTCGACCGCCCAGAGCGGCCAGCCAGGCTGTCAACGAGGGTATCGCCGTGGCCGATACCACTTCGTATAGCATCGCCCCGGTGTTGCCGACTGGCCCGCAACGGATGCCCGACTCGGCCAATTGCCAGTCCGAGGGGGAAGGATCCGGACTGAAGCAGTCGACGAGCGGAATTCCCTCTGACTGATACTCCGGATCACGCTGCTGCAAGCGCTGAATACAGCCGTGGTGAATGGCATCCAGGATCGTCCCCGCGGGCTCGTCCACCACCGTCGAGTAGCGCGCCGCCACAGGGCCGTGCAGGATACAGACACGACCGACATCCCCGTCGACCACGGCCGCCAGGTCTTCCGACTGCCACAGGGAGTCCTTCTTGAAGTAGGTCTCGAAGTTCTCGTCGAGGATAGGCACAAAGGGCACGGGCTTAGCGCCCCGCCGCGTACACAAGTGCAGGAAGTACTGCGCATCCTGCGTGCCGATCAGCTGCTCCTGGGCCTGCGGCAGTCTGGCCAGGAAGGCATCAAGGGCTGACTCCGGATCCTCAGCCAGGGCATCCTGATCAACGCGAGACTCGTCCTCGTCGTCGGCCAGGCGTGCCTCCACGCGCTGCAGGAAATCGTGCAGGAACCGGCGATACGAGACGTCGATCCACCGGCGCTCCGTCGACACAAACGTCAACTCGACGAACCGTCGCAGCACCTCGGCGTAGGTCATCTCGTCCAAGTCGACCACCTCTCCCTGGCTGTCCCGACCGAACCACACCTTCACCCAGTCTGCATTGAGGCGACGAATCAGACTGCCCCGCTGTTTCTGCAGCTGCGCGACGCGCTTCTGGCGGTCGGTGATGGCGAAGATGGTGCGGTCCAACTCGGCCCACAGCTGCACGCCGCGCGTGGCCAGCTTGTGGATGGGCTCACCCATCTCCGACGTGACGGTCAGGATGCCCCCTGCGGCGCGCGTGTAGCTCTGCTCCCAGTCGCTCTCGTGCTCGACGCCCGGGGCTGCCGCGATAGCCTGCTTGGCCGCGGGGCTGGTGTGGGCCTCTCGGGCGGTCATCAGACGACTTCCCAGGAGGATGCCATCGAAGGGCATGGGAGGCCGGTTGTAGCAGCGCGCCCAGTCACCGGTGAGATACGGGAAGGTCTCGTCGGCAGTTCCAAAGCCACTGCCGGCCACGAGAATCACGTTCTCGCAACGACGGATCGCGTCGTAGGCCTGCAGGATGGGCTGGTGGAAGTCCTCGAAGGAGTGATGGCCACCTCCGCGACCACCGGTCCACTGCAGGATGATAGGGAAGTTGGGATGCGCGCGTGCAATCTCCAACACCTGGTGAATGGCGGGCAGTGCACCGGGCTTGAATCCCAGGTGGCGCAGGCCGATATCTTCGATATATCGGGTGGCCACCTCAAGCGAGGGCACGCCGGCCCCGATGGTCAATCCCTCAATCGGTACCCCCGCCGCGCGCAGCTTCGCCAACAGCGAAATCTGCCACTTCACGGCTTGGGGAGCCGCGTAAATCATGTTGCAGGTGATGCCCCGTCCGGCGGGGACGGCGGCCACCAGCTTCTGGATGGCGGTCTGCAGCGCCGTGGCGTTGTAGAAGCCCCCCAGGGCGAGTTCGACGTGGTAGCCGGCGCGCATGATGGCCGCACAGAAGTCCCACGCAGCGGTCGTGGGTGTCATCCCACCGACCATCACCGGAGGCAGTCCCAGCAGGCGACTGAGCTTCGTGTCGACCAGCACGCCGCCCCCGCCGGTGATCTGCACCAGGCGCGGCCGATAGCGATCCCGCCAGACCGGTCCGTAGATGAGACCCCGCGGGGCCGGGTTCCAATCGAAGATCTCACTCCGATCCCCCAATTGTTCCGCCCGGGCACTGTGCGAATGATGACCGCCGCTGGCCAGGATCGTGCGGACTCCCGTCCCTTCCTTCAGCCGGTTCGTCAGGGAGCCGATGCCGGCGCTGCCGTCCGGACCAAAGGCTAGAATGTGCGTGGCCCCGGGGAACTGCGTCGCCTTGGGCCAGACGAGAGGCTGCTCGGTGATCATAGCCACAAGCTCGGGGACGAGATTCGCGGCCCCCCGAGTGCGCAGATCCATTCCGGTGCGGGTGCAGTACACGGGAATGCGCAGTTGTTCGCCGCTGATGGTCAGGCCGGGCACTCGCGCCAGCACTTCAGGCACGACTTCCGCCAAATAGCTGCTGTGGAAGGCCGCCGTGATGGGGAGGAACCGGTTACGGATCTCTGGGCGGCGTTGACTGAACGGGATGCGATGTTGCACCCCCGAGGCGGGCGCCTTCACTGCCCGCAGCCAGACGTTGAATCCGTGCAGCGACAGCGGGGGCCCGGCCAGGACGATATTGTGGGGTCCGTTGATGAGCGCGATTTCGATGTGGGCGTCCTCCGGGAGATGTGCGTTGACGTCGGCCACGTAGCTGCGCACTTGCGCCACTGGAAAGTCGGCAACACTCAGCATGGGGCCGGGGAAGCCCTCCCCGTGGGCCTCGGCGTTGGCCACGATGGCCGGTGGTAGTTGCGCCACCGCGAACTGGTCTTGACTGCAGGCGCCAATGGCGAGTAACACGCGCAGGGCATCCAGCGCCAGGGCATCGAACTGAGTCCAGGACTGCGCGACCGCAATCACCGTGGCCGGGAGAATGCCCTGGGAATGACCGGTCGTGCCGGCCAGGGCCGTCTGCAGCTGCGCGGGCGTCACCCCGGCCACCCGGCCGACCACTCGATACCAGGCCAGCTGCAGCAACCCAATCAGAGGCATACTGATCGGGGCCCCGATGAGATAGGCAGACGCCGGCGTGCGCTCGGGATGCTCCAGCCAGCTGAGGGCATCCAGCCCGTTGTGGTAGAAGCGACTGCTGCCGCCGTTCATACTCTCGCGCTGCAGCAGGCTCGAGGCGGGAATAATCAACTCCTCGACTAGGGGCCGATAGGTCTGCCAGAGTGTGCGCAGTTCCTCAAAATAGTGCTCATCGTTGCCTTGGCCGCCAAACACCACATACAGTCGTGCCTTGCGCTCCTGTGCCGCCGTCAGCAGCGCGGAGGGAGGGGTGGCGGCTCGACTCAGGCGCCGCAAGGCATGCCGGGCTCGGACATACGCGGCCAGAATCGTCGACTGGGTGATTTCCGAGGTATCTTCGAGGTTGTAGACCACCCCATGCACCTCGCGTTGCTGCAGAATATCCCGGTCGAACGTCTCCAGGGCGATGGTGAGGAGGTGGCGGAGGTCCTCGGTCAATCCCCGGGGGGCTTGCTCCAACCGATGCACGGTGAAGCCGAGGAAGCGCGCCCAGAACTCCACTAGGGACGACAATGTGACCGGCTCGTTGGCCGTCTGCAGGTGGTGGAGAAAATCATCGCGGAGTTGAAGAGCAGCAGGGAAGAAAGCGGTGGTGACGGAGAGGGAATGTGTAAAGGTGCCGTAACTGATGGTGAGGATCTGCCCTGCCAGCGGATTTGTCGCCGACGCCGACGTGGACAGATGTTCGGGTGTCGACCAACCCGACGACGATGTCGACGAGTCGGTTAATGAAGTGGTTGATAATGTGGTGGTTGAGATCAACATGGTGGAATCAAAGGCAACCATGAGGGGCACCCCAAACAGAACAGTTTCAAATTCTAAAAATCAAGCCCAGCCACTTCTCCGCTCCAGCGCCAATGTGATGGCTCTATTTGCCTTTTTGAGTCATAAGAGTAGTATCTTCATATATTCCCCAAGAAAAAGAGGTGCGCCGGGACCAGCTCGTATATTTTAGTGTTTGGTTAGCCTGTTGCGACCAGGCTATCAAGCGGGGCCGATGTAAGCCCTAAGTGGCTCACCTTGCATGAAATGAGCGGCAAATGATGAGCTTGCATATTTGCTCGTCTAGAAGGCTGAAACGATCCTTTGAGGATCAGGCAGCGTAATTTGCTAATTTTGGACGAGCCCTGGGACTTGTGAACCCTGGCTCGATTGTCGATCATCCGCGAGATTGGGTGAGATTGGGTGTCTGGAATCAGATTGGATGAGGTGATAAAACGCTGCTGCCAGCGTCAGGCTTTTGCTGTTCTTTGAGTTTCGTTTCTGTTTTTTTTTTTTTTTTTTTTCTTTGAGGATCCCGGCCCTCTCTATTTTTCTCTTCTCTTCAGGCTTTCTCTAGAGTCATATTATATCTCGTTTTCTTGCTTGGTGCCAATTGAATCCAGTCCCAAGACCAAGACCAAGACCAAGACCGCACCATGGGCTGGCCGAGTCACTGCGGTAAGTTTCCTACTTCGCCCATTCAGTCGGTTTCGTTTTCTTTGATTAAGTAAGCAGCACAACCAAAATGACCCTAACTGATGAACAAAAAAATCCATAGATCTCTCCAGCGACAATGCCCAATACAGCTATTGTGCCAATGGCCCCGCGGCGGTATTCTTCTCCGTCCTCTTCGGACTGACCTGGATCGCCCATCTGGTGCAAGCGATCGTTTACCGCAAGAAATTCTGCTGGGTGATCGTGGTCGGCACGGTGTGGGAATGTCTGGGGTTGATCATGCGCACGTACTCGACCATCAACCAGACCGAGTCAACAACGGCGTCTGCCGGCCAATTGCTGGTGCTGCTGGCCCCACTGTGGATTAACGCCTACATCTACATGATCTTCGGTCGGATGGTCTACTACTTCCTCCCCGAGAAAAAAGTCGCCGGGATTCGCGCGGAGAAGCTGGCCAAGATCTTCATCTGGCTGGATGTGAGGTGAGCGGCCTTCCCCAAATCTCTCAATCTGGCAGTAGTCAGCCAACAAGGAGAAAAGACTCACCAGATGTACCATTAGCTCCTTCATCGTCCAAGCGACCGGTGGTATCATGGACTCCGACTTCAGCAACGAAATGGACAAGATCGGCCTGCACGTGTACACGGCGGGTATCGCGGTGCAACAGTTCTTCATCGTCTGCTTCATCGGCCTCCTCATCGCCTTCCACCGGCGCATGCGCCAGGGCCACGGGCGTCAGGACATGATGGGCGACCGACAGCGGTGGCAGGCGCTCGTGTTCGCCATGTACGCCAGTCTGTCGTGCATCACGATCCGCATCATCTACCGTCTCGCCGAGTTCGCCGACACCAACACGGCCGGCAGCAGTCCGCTGACCGTCAACGAGGCGCCCTTCTACTGTCTGGAGTGTCTGCCCATGTTCGCCGCGATGGTCATCTGGAACGTCTGGCACCCCGGTCGTTACCTGCAGGGGGACGAAAGCGAGTTTCCCAAGAAGATCAAGCTGTCGCGCGTGGAGAAGAGGCGCAGAAAGCTGAAGGCCAAGGAGGAGGCCAAGGAGCGGAAGCGCAGCAACCGCCGTCGGTCGTCGAGTCGGAAGCGCAACCACCGAGTCTCCGAATATCATTTGACGGAGCAGTCGGACAATGCGCAGTTGGAGGAAGGTTTCACGCATGCTTATCCGGACAGGGTGCGGATGTAGGGAGTTTGTCCGGATAAGGAACGGTGACCTTTTCTTATGTCTTTCTTTCTTTTTTTTTCAATTCTTTTTTTCCTATTTTCTGAATATTCTTAGCGCCGTGACCGGTGTTCTTTCTACCTGATTCCCCACTGCATCATGTTCAAAATTGAAATAATTATGACTTCCCTGTGTGATGACAACCCTCTAGCAGCTATCCTCTGGTGCACATATATAAATATATATATCCATCCGAATGAATATGTATACAAAATAATCAAAGATGTAAAGTTGGTATCCCAAAGCCCCGACAGCCCTTACCAGCCCCAACGCCAAATTCTAAGCCAGCCAAAATACACCACCCCCAAAAGCGCAGACGATGCCGGATGGAAGAAAGAAAGAAAAAGAAGAAAAAGAAAATGCAAGATTGTACGGCAAAGCCATCAGTGGCTGCCACCGAGACAAGCACTATGTAAGGGCGTCTGATCCTCGAAATCACGAATGTCTAGTTGAGCACCCGCCAGAATCAGCATCTCCACTAGCTCCTGCTGGTTTGATTCACACGCTAGGTGCAGCGGGGTGCGACCCCAGCAGTCCTGCGCATTGACCAAGTAGTAGCTGGCGGGATGCTCGAGTAAGACGCGCACCACGGCGTGCTGCCGGGCCTGCACGGCTAGATGGAAGGCAGTCTCTCCACGTCGGGTGGTCCGATTCACGGCCCCCCGGTGATGGGCGTCACTCGTCAGCAACAGCTGCACCACCCTGGTGTGGCCCTGCCGCGCGGCTAGGTGTAGCGGCGTCCATCCGGCGCTGTCAGGCAGGGAGGGATCGCCCCCGGCCCGTAGCAGCACCGCTAACACCGACTCATGGCCGTGGAGCGCGGCACGATGCAGAGCTGTGTGTCCGTGTGCAGGGCCGCTCCTCCCTTCGGTGGTGGGGGTCGAGGTCGGGCTTCCGCTGGACGTGGGTGCGTGGACCAGGTCCGGCAGAGGCAGGGCCAGCGGGGAGGGGTAGGCTGAGTACGCCACCGGATCTGGGAATAGCACGTCCAGACTGAGGGGCGGGTCCCAGGGCTCTCCGGTGAACATGAGAGGGTCCGCTGGGGAGGTGTATGGAGATACATCGGAGGGTAACGTAGGCGGGGTGGATAGGTGGAGGCTATATGATTGTAGTGGCGGTGGTGATGAGAATGGTGGTAGAGGGAGGACCTGATCATGCTGTTGCTGGGGAGGAGAAGGCAGCGTGGCTGCACTGGCTTGCGCAGTGTTTCTCTCTTCTCCCTTTCGTAAACCTGCTTAAGACACACTCAATGATTTAGCAAACTCTCCGGTCTCGACTACCGCCCATTCCAGGCTTGGTAAGTACTCACGTCGACGATACCCTCGTTGAGCAATGCGATTCTGGGCCCTCCGACGCTCCACTGGATCGTGGATATTGGCCCAATTCTCCCCCACGACACCAACGGGAATGGGAGTTACCTTCATGGATAGTGCATAGAGAGCAGGGTCTCGCGGCATGCAGGCAACCAATCAAACAGACAGACAGACAGACGACAAGTCACGGAATCGTCGTACAACAGCGGTCGTGCATAATCTTTCTGCCTATTTTTCTCCTCGCGTCCCTGTTCCCGGTCGATGATCTACTATTTAAGATCGGGTGCTGGGCCTTTCCACGTGACGACGAACCCCGTCTGACAGATTACATAGGCGCCGTGGCCCAGTCCATCGCATCATACAGAGGAAGGCGAACCGACGAGGTTGTCAGGGGTGGAGATCCGTTTGCAACGCCAGCAGCCTGCAGGACTCTGAACCGGCCCCCAAACACGAGGGAAGGCCATGCGGAAAGTGCGTCTCGTCCCAGATAGAATCCAATTCGCCAAGGAGTGACGGCGATGGATCGACATGGTCGGGCGGCCGGGAATCCGGGAATCCGGGAATCTGGGGATCCAGGGATCAAACCACCACCCTCATGGCCGACTCCAGACTTCTCCCCCCTCCTTTGGGTGGCAGTGGTTGAGGAGGAGAAGGAGGAAGAGGACGACCAACTTCTCCAGAACTGAATGAACAGGACGCCTGAATCCCTGAGCAATCTGGCTAATCTCGTAGAGGAAATAGCTGCAGGGGTGCTTGCTGCTCGTATTTTCCAGCGCCCTATACAACGGTGTTTGGTTTTGCCCTGGAACTCAAAGAGCCAGCCGGGTGAGAGAAATTATCAGTCGGGATTATGGACTGGCCGGTCACGAATCAGAAATGCTGGAGCCTAGCTGGGGCTTGGAAATTTAGAAGAATAACACCAAGCATGCTCGGATTGAAGTTGGAAGATTTGCTTACGAGACCTTTTAGTAAAACTATAGAAGACTCTGATAGCCACCTCTGTAAAAACAGGTTCTTCTTATCTAATTAATATCTCTACCGCAGCAGTAACCGCCTATAAGACTCCCTATAAATACTACCACGCTGCTTTCTAAAAATTACATACAGGATCATATCATATTAGATTCTCCGACATAAAATACTTATTATTATTGCTTTTTTTTTTAGGATTATTGGGATTTTATCAAAGAGGCTCAATTCTCCTAATCTTATTGTTCTGCCGGTAAAATCTGTTTTTGCAGAGTGGCCATTAAAGTCTTTCGTAGCAAGTGAGACTTGAATGATTAACCTAGGCGGCCCGCCTTGTCGGTGTTAGAGGACTTCAAGGTTGTGTTTCTCGCTCTCTTTATATTTAACTTTTGTCTCCCTTGCATAATACAAGCTCCCGGATAGTACTGTACCACACACTAGGTTATATTCGGAGGTTCCCGAGCCTGAATCCCGTTTTAATAGGTGGCCCGGCGTGATAGAAACTTATGGCAGGCTGCAACTAAAACCGGAATCCTGGAGCGATAAGTTCCTTCAGTAGCAGTAGGTTCCCACCCAATCATCGCGCCCATCGCACGCACACGTCCTGAGACCAATGAAGGATCAAATCTCTCGCGTCAGCCAATCGAGACAGACTAAGGCTAAGCTTTCTGATCACTAGTTGGAGCTAACTCAAAGATGACTTTGCAATGATCGATCTGTCTCCGGTCACGGGGTGTAAGTAAGTTCCGACAGTGCAATTTTCCGATCGCAGCATCATTCAGGTCTGGTGAATGTTGAACAAGACACTTTTTTCGCCAATAGATTTTAGGGTTGCTATTGATATTTGAGTTATTTGAATTCCATCAAGAGGCTGAGCGGTCAGTCTTTATGTTACGGGTAGGCCCACACGGTCATCATACGGAGCGGAGTCCATGTCGCGATG